ACCAGCCTGGTCCACAGAGCAAGTTCAATGGTCAAGGCTACAGAGAGAGAAGAGAATCTGTTTCTAAAATAAAAACTGTAAATGCATTAATGTTTATTTTTAATTAAAGTTTGATTCAAGTCTCCTTGTGTAACTACCTGATATAGTTGCACTCTTGTGCAACTTGAGTTCCCTGTAACAGCAATTTGTGTTCCTACCAGCTGAGCCTTATCTCCAGCTAAATATATAAGTATTAAATCTCATTAATTTAATTTTAAATCAAAAGGTTTACTTTTTCAGACATTTAAAAGTTGATTCTTTTATCAACATAAAATAATTAAAATAATTTTTAGGATCATTTGCATGAGAAAAATAGCTTCACATGATACACTAGTGATGCTCAGGAATTAAATTCAAGAGAGTAGTCTTCCCAGAACAAAAATTTTCTGCTTGGCACCTCTGTTCCTTTCATACTTATTTTTATTTTTTGAAACCAGGTTGCACTGTGTGGTTCTGCCTGGCCTTGAAGTTACATATCCATCTGCCTCTGCCACACAAAGGTTAATATTAAGGCACAAGTCATCATACTGGACCACATGTATAATCTTGATGCAAAATAATTACAAGCTGAGAGGTAAATAAGGGGAAAATGCCTCTAGATCTCAAGTAAATATACTGTGTACACAGCATAGTTCTTTTTTAACATTGTCTGGACCTTCCCTCATAGGTTTTGTTTCACTTTCTTATTGAGGTTTATTTGTTTACTTTATGTGTGTTTTGTGCATGCCTGAATGTATGTACTTGCATGCCTAGTTCTCTCAGAAGACAGAAGAGTGGTCAGATCCCTTGACGTTTTGGCTATAGGCATGTAAGTCAACCAACCTGGTGTTGAGAACAAAGCTCAGGTCCTTGGCACCAGCATCACACAGTGTTGACAGCTGAGCCTTCTCTGCAGGCACCATGGGTTTCTGAACCTGGTGAGCCCATATCCTTGGAAGATGGTTTTATTTAACTTTTCTTTTCTAACAATAAAAAGCCAAAGCATACCTACTCAATGCACCCTCAAAAAGATCAAGTGTCAGTGTAAAATTCTTGGTCATGGTCATCATGGCTGTCTTCATGTTCACAAGTAAAATGGTGTAAATAAACATAAGCTTTATGCTTTGAAATTTCCAGATGTTTGGTGTGCTGGAATTTGAAGATATTTGACCTCAGTAGTGTTATCAACCTCCCATCACCTCTTTGCTAGTCTTTGTAGCAATTGTTTATAAATTGTGACTATAGTACCACATGCACCTCGGGCCTATTTAGAAGCTATCAATGATTGTCCAACTCTTTGGTAATCACCATTAGTATGGGACTCCACCTGCTTGTTTCCAAGTTCAGGTACAAATGAATAGCCCTGGGAAAGTAGATTACCTGAGCCAGAAATGATAATAGTATGCCAGACTGAACATTCTAGTCAAGTGTTAGTGTGGCTTTAAAGAATCCTTACCTGAAGGCCTGCAGGCAGGACACAGGATAAAATTCCTCCACAGAGCAGTGGAGCACAGCAGTAAAGCAGCTGGACAGGGATTCTTCATGTCATTGCCACTGCTGCTGGCTGCTGCTTCAGCATCATCACAAGTTCCAGACAGACAGAGGTGTCAAAAAGTGGACAGTGAAGTTGGGGGCAAAGGCCAGGGTGCCATAGATCCAAGTGTACTCCAGGACAAAGATTACACTAATGGTCCAAAGCTGGAGTGGCAGGGCCTGCACATACTTTGCCATTTGCTCTTTTGAGACATGGTCTCACGTATAACCCAGGACTGCCTAAATTTCACAGTGATCCTTCTGTCACAGTGTGCTCAGTACAGAGTACAATTGTGTGTCACACCTAGCTTCTGTTTATTTAATGAGTAAATGTGCAGAATTAATACAAGTCAGGCAAGGTGGTGCAGGCCTTTAATCTTAGCACTGACTGTGCAGCAGAGGAAAATTGATCAGGTCTGCATAATGAGTTCTCAACCAGCCAGGGCTACAAAGTGAAAATGAAACAATAGGATCATGATGTAAAAATACTTATTCTTAATGTGGCTTACTTAATTTTTACTAATGATTCCAAATTGAGAGAAAAATAAATATGTAGACTCATATATGAAGTGGGCAGTAAAATATGTATATTCATCAGAATATTAAGAGTCTCTATCGTAAATGTGAAGTGATTAAGTGCTCTGATTGGTCAATAAATAAAACACTGATTGGCTAGTGGCTAGGCAGGAAGTATAGGTGGGACTAACAGAGAGGAGAAAAGAAAGAACAGGAAGGCGGAAGGAGACTGCCAGCCGCCACCATGACAAGCAGCATGTGAAGATGCTGGTAAGCCACGAGCCACGTGGCAAGGTATAGATTTATGAAAATGGATTAATTTAAGCTATAAGAACAGTTAGCAAGAAGCCTGCCATGGCCATATAGTTTGTAAGTAATATGTCTCTGTGTTTACTTAGTTGGGTCTGAGTGGCTGTGGGACTGGCGGGTGACAAAGATTTGTTCTGACTGTGGGCAAGGCAGGAAAACTCTAGCTACAATTAAGTAAAAATACTTTGACCTTGTAGGGTTTAGTTGAGTAAAATTCTGTATTTACATTGATGGGTTTTTTTCTACATAATAATTGTTGGAGAGATTGCTGATTTTTGGTGCATATTTTTAATCAGACTTTTTTTTTTTTTTTTTTTTTTTTTTTACAAAAAAAACAAGAACATTTTTCATAGCTGGCCAGAGGTATGGCTGTCCATGGTAATGGCTGGTTCTCTTTGTCCTTTCTCAGTTTCATAGCAAACCTGACTAGTGCTCCAGAAACGATTCTTCAGCTCCCAGAGTTGAAGTCTGACCCAGTAGCTGGCTGGTCCGAGCAAAGGTCCAAACACTTTTCGTTCTCTCTGGGATGGTGGGAGCCCATCACCTCACTCTGCAGTCGGCCATAGTGCTACAAAGGGCTTAGGGGCAGGTGGCTGAACAGTGGCCAGTCCAGACATTCTGGAAGTGTTCTGCAGGACTTCTATTTTGGTCAATGGCTGAAGTACCATGTAGCTAGCTAGCTATTTTTTTTTCTGGATTTTTTAGTTTTGGTGCATTTTTGTCTTTCATGTTTTCAGTTTTCTTTTTAAAAAATTCTGAATTTGAGCCAGTTAGACATGTGTGGACACACATGCCACAGCACATGTATGAGGGTCAGAGGACAAGTTGGAGATATGGACTCTCTCCTCAGTTGATCTCAGACTTCAGACTTGGTTGGAAGTGCCTTTCCTCACTGAGCCAACCAGCTGGTTCCTGCCAGAGCACTCCCTTCTAACCCACCTATTTCAGTATATTGGTGTAGTTGCTCTGTTGTCATTTTTGGGTAGAGAAGACTGGGTACTCATTTAGAGCTCTCCCATGCTTGGCAAGCATCTATCCACTGAGGTTTAAGCAAAAAGTTATTTTGAGGCAGGGTCTATCTGGTTAAGTTGCCCAAGTTTTTGTCAACGTAGTCTGTAGCCATTCCAGGCCTTAAGCTTGTGATGCTCATGCCTCATCCTTCCATGTGGTGGGATTCCAGGGCACCACCACCACTCTCAGCTCCAAATTCATGTGGGAAACCAGCAATTTGAATCCGTCTTCTTTTAAAAGTAATGTATCTTAAGGTGTATCAATTACAGTTTTTAAAATTAACTTTTGGTGGTGTTATTAATATTTTCTTATTAGCTATTATGCCCATTTAATCTCTAATCTCTACTAGTCTTTCTTTGTAATCCCTATCTTTCCATGCATTGATCCCTTTGTTTCCATTTTCATATGTGTTTTTATTTAGGTTGGAGATGGGTCTTTTGGGAGCCAGGCCAGCCCAAGGCTTTCTCAGATGTCCTGATGAATGCTCCAAGGGAACAGTGGTTCTGTGTCTCATGCCCACTGTGAGCTGAGTCTGAGGTATTCTGTGTCTCTTGACAATGTGGCTTAATTAGCTTTCTGCGACTATTCCGTTCTGCCCCTACAAATAGTGTATCAGAGCTGTAGTTATTAATAAACTTTCTTAGTATGAGCCATCAGCTTATGCAAGACCTACTGATACCTCCCTAGTCACCTCCCCTTCGGGATCTAAATTTTTGTTTTGTGTCACACAGGTTGAGCTGGTTTAAAGTTTTGATGTCTTGCTTCCACTTGCTTCCAATGCTGTCATAAAACACCAGTGCCACCACATAAGGCCGGTAAAGGTTTCATATTTGGCCAACAGTGTGCCACTGAGAGAAGTGTGAGCAGTCCTAGGTGAGCCTTACTGAAATTGTTGATGCCTGCTGAATGTCAATCAGGTTGTTTAAACTTCACCTAGATGGGCTGGGCGTCATTTCTCTTGTGAGCCAGGGTAATCACTGCCCTACACATTAAGTAATGATTTGTGTATGCCTAGGATGCTGTGAATGAAAAAAGGAAAAAAAAAAAAGAAATAATTAAAAAAAAAAAGGAAAGACATGACTGGTTCCGGGTTCAGGCAGCAGAGTGGAAAACAAAATCAAAAACAAAAACAAAAAGCTATAAAAGGAAAGGACATGACTGCTCCTAGGTGTGGTAGAGGAGAAAGTCTGTTATTGATAAAAGAGTCTAGGGAGAGACAGGGACATCTGGGAGAGTCCACAGTGGACATGAGCCTGAGCCATGTGAAAAGAGGAGGTAGGGAGAGACGGGGAGAGTCAAACCAAGAGGTCAGGAAGAAGGGTAGATTGGAAAAAAACAAAAACAACAAAAAGAAACCGGGTTATCAGAATGGTTGTATTATATAGGGAAGGGCTGGAGAAGTTCAGGGTAGGGGGCCGTGCATGGCAGCCATATCCTGCCATAGGTAGGCACTGAGGGAGGCAGTGAGAACCTGACAGCTAAGTGTCTTTTATAAGTGAAATATGCACCTCAACCTTTAATCCCAGGTTTGAAACCTTACATCCTGTTCCCAGGAGGAGGAAGGTGCAGTGCCCACTGAGTGCAGGGACGACTTTGCAGGTCCGGCTAAAGTTCTGCTGCAATGCCAATCTCTGCAGGTCTTGGACAGTTCTGTGCCAGGAGTGGAAGCCAGAGCAGGGAAATGCTGTACTGTGTTCCTTCACAACATTCTGTCCCAAAGGGAGTTGCTTCTGTCACTCAGGACGCGCTAACCAATTAGGGCTCTCAAGCCGACTGTCAGTCAGAATAAGGGAGGGCACTTCCGGTCAGCCAAGCAGCCTACTCCGAGGCTCTAGGCCCAGAAAGACGCTTGGGTTCCTTGTGCTTCGCTGTGACCGGCTGCCGGGAGCTGTTAGGAGAGCGGGGCGAGCTCGGAATCCACCATG